TTGACCTGTTGTGGAACAGTGTTGTAAATACAACTTAACCACTGATTTCTAGTCATGTCCTCTTTTGGAAGGCCAAACAAAGTATTTTCGCTTTTGCACCGAAACACACAGCGTCTTCACAACATGGCGACGGCAGTGTCAGCAACAATAAAGTTACGCCTTCTTTCTTAACCATCGGCATCACCATCCTCCCTGTGAATGACGAACCGCCCCACATTCAACGCAACACCGGAATGGAGGTACACCAAGACCATTTTCCCTGTTTAAACATTAATGAAGCTTCTAGAACAGAGACATAGTCGGAAAATTTCAGAGCGACTCCCTCCACTGGAACACAGAGTGTCATTCAGTGCTTGCTTGATGTTGTCTGTGGTTTTTGGTCGCCGTGGAAATTCATATTTTTGGAAAACCATGACGGTGGCAAGAATTCAGCTTCTGGGCTGGAGGGAATACAGACCAATCGGAGATGCCGCGCGACTCCCGCAAAAAAATTATAGTTATGTATATTTTAATTTACAAAATGATAACTAAATTATAAAGAAAAAAAATCATTCTACCGAGTGTAATGTGAAAAAAAAGCCTTTATTGAAATTAAATTATCTACTAATTGTACTTGAAAAAATAAATAATCATTATTTTGACATCACAGTATTGTGAATGAGCGGTTTTGCATTTTGTTGCAATAATTGTCATGAAAATAAAGACCCAGTGCCAAAAATTACAATATTCCTAAAATGGCTTCGTTTTACAATTTCATATGCTTTTCCTTTTGATTTTGGCATGAAACATGAAACTTTTGTAAGATTCATCCACACAAACACAATCACACACACACAGTAATATATCAGTTCTGGGCCCCCTGAGCTCTGATGTAGAGACCCTATAGAGACACACCAGTCTAATCAGAGAGAGATTGCAGTTTCCCATCAAAGCAGGCCTCAGCACTGCATGCTGGGATTTGATTTGCCATGCAGCCTCTGATCCATGTTACATCTATTAAATATTGAATATGAAGAAACAGCAATTTCCAGCCCAATTTGGGAGATATTTGTTTTATAAACTTCACTCGTGCTGTACTCTGGTCTAGTGCTACCATCTAGTGGATGCCCATGCATATACTACACAGGAAGTGATGTAAAGGTCTTCGAACAATCACCAGAGGGCAGTATAGAGAGTTATCTGGTATGACTAATATTTACCCTGGTAATAACACTGCATTGCCCCCCATTAAAAAGCACTCGCAGGAGGAAAGGAGATGATTTTACATGCACTTAAATCTTGAAGGTCACGTTATGTGGAAAGTAGATTACTAAATGATAATGAGTCTGTAGACCTTTCTGTTCCAGGGCACTACGCCATGTACTCAATTCCAGTTTTCTCCCCTCGGTCTCCCAGGAGAGCTGTAGATGGAGGCAGTGAAAGCATTGAGGAACAGATAAATGTGTTGATGTGTGGTGTTCACACGGCAGCCCTGCAATCTCCCAGCTGAATTTGATCGTTTAAGAATGTCTTTCAGCAACTTGTCCATTACACATCCATTAGAGCAGCATCAGAGGAGACATAACTGCCTCTTTCACATCCCAACGACTCCAGACAGTTAGACACCTCTGAAAACAACAGTTTAGTTGTTCCATCTTGTTTATTGGTTTGTTTATCTCTCTTTGTAGACACATCTGAAAACAACAGTTTAGTTGTTCCATCTTGTTTATTGGTTTGTTTATCTCTCTTTGTTTGTGTGTGCTCTCACCTTTCAGCTTCTAGCTGGCGAGGAGTCTGAAATCACAGCCAATATGCTGAGCAGCGATGATCTTGACACCCCTCCAGAGGAGTTGGTGTATGCTATCGAGATGCCCAGCAATGGGATCGTTGCCTTTAAAGTGTCTCGAGATGACAGCGTGGACAGTTTCACCCAGGCTCAGATTAATAATGGAGCTGTACTTTGATATCATGTTTAAAGGACTCAACTTAGCAAATGTGTTGTGACTCTTTTGATAGAAGTTCCTTAGAGATCTTTTTATTATAGTTCTTTAGAAAATAAATATCTGTGTGAAGACCCCAGAAACCACTACACTGATCTGAAAACATAAAATTAAGATCTCTTCCAAAAAAATATATATATACATAACTTTATACCTGCAAAAAGTGTTCTTGATAAGAAAAGTTAAATCTAATGTGCTGCATGGAACCATTGAAGAACCCTCATTTTAAGATTGTAACATGATGTAGTGAATATGATGTTCTTGTGTCTGCGCTCAGGCTCAGAATCTGGTGGGTTCAGCTTCACCGTGACTGATGGAGAACACACTTCACCTCTCAACCACTTCGCTGTCAAGGCAAGGCAGCTCACCATCTCCATGGAAACGGAGGGGGAACTCATGGTCTTCCCAGGTGGGCTCCACACATCCAGAGCTTAAATCTAAATCCCTGTCTCTCTCTGGGCCAATAAAGATCTTCAATTTGTTTATAAAACTTCACATTGGGGGGTTATTTTTCATTTTCCTCATCATGAAGAGTCCGTACTCTTATCTGGAACAACCTTATATGTCAATTATAGCTGTATAAAAGCTGCTAGAATGTGTTTTCATGAAGAAATCAGTGGAGTGATATGATTTGTTGGTGATGCTTGTCAGGCACCAGGCAGGTGATCAGTGGAGATATTTTACGGGCCATAACAAGTGAAGACGGTGATGAAATCACATACTCACTTGTGAAACCTCCTCGCTTGGGACGAATAATCAAACCTAACCAGCGTGGACAGTTTGAGGAGATCAACAAATTCACACAGACAGAGGTAAATAACATTGTATATTAGGGAAAAGGTACTTGCAGAGGAGACCAGTAACGCATATAGCTAAAATTTTTGGTATTAGTATTATTATATAGAATAATTGTTTTGACATTGTAATAAATCCCTTCATGTGCTGTCAATAAAGCCTCTTCTATTGTAATGTCATCTCTGGCCACAAGAGGGCAGCATATGTGTAGATATTATTAGTGGACAGTAGATGGCAGCACTGTTCTCTCATTACAGTCAGGCTTTTGCTTGCTGAGTCTAAACTTACAAAATCTGCAACTATTTCAAGTTCAGAACTAAAACTATATTCCTTAATTGCTGTAATAAATTGTCTGTAATGCTTCAACAACTGACCATTTGATCTGTTTAATGGACAGTGTTATAGGTTGTGGCCAGTTATAAAAGGGTTTTTGTATTTGATTCCTATTGTGTGTTCAGTTGGATGCAGGTGCCGTGTATTATGAGCATCAGATGCCGTCTGAGCCCTTCTGGGTCCTGAAAGATTCTGTTGAGCTGGCCCTCATATCGCCCCCAGCAACAGAGCTGCATCACAGCCTGCCAGTGACTGTGTCATACTACGCAGCCAATCGAAACGTGTCGTCTCAGCTCTGGAAGAACAAAGGTAGCTACCAATTAAATGTCTTGAAGATTGGTGTATGACATCAAAGCTCCATGAGAACTATAGAGAGCAGACAGCTCTTTATGCTTTCGAATCGCTCTCACTGTACTTTGATATGTTTAAAGGACTCAACTTAGCAAATGTGTTGTGACTCTTTTGATAGAAGTTCCTTAGAGATCTTTTTATTATAGTTCTTTAGAAAATAAATATCTGTGTGAAGACCCCAGAAACCATGAAAGATTCTGTTGAGCTGGCCCTCATATCGCCCCCAGCAACAGAGCTGCATCACAGCCTGCCAGTGACTGTGTCATACTACGCAGCCAATCGAAACGTGTCGTCTCAGCTCTGGAAGAACAAAGGTAGCTACCAATTAAATGTCATTTTATGGAGTAGGGGTTTGATGCAGGTACTCTTTGTCAATTGATACAAAAGTGAACAGAAGACTGATAATAATAGGCAAATGTGGTGGGAACAGGACACAATGCATTCAAACTTGTATTTTCTGCATGAGCACTGAGACTCAATGTGGTCGGAGCTTGTATGCCAGGGTTTCTCAAATCTGGCCCTGCTCTGCAGAGTTCAGCTCAAAACCTAATCAAAGACCACTTAGCAAGGTAATCAAGGTCTTCAGAGTTACTAGAAAATTACAGGTAGGTGAGTTTGATCATGGTTTGCCTAAACTCTGCAGGGCAGTGGCCCTCCATGGCCCTGTTGTATGTTAATCTCTAGGTCTAATAATTAAATGTAATTTAATTATTTTCCTTTGGTGTTTTGTTAATGTGTTGCAGGTGTGTCCGTGGTGCAGGGTCAGTCTAAAGTGATTGACAGCTCTGTTTTGGATGCTTCTAACCTGCTGGCCAGTTTGCCTGAGCAGAAGCGAGCGGGGCAGGACATTGTCTATGAAGTGCGTTGGTTCCCCATTCATGGACGACTCACTCTCGGGGGGTCTGATCTGTCTCGCGATGCTCCCCATTTTCTGCAGGATGATGTGGCACGTGGTGATCTGGAGTACAATCAAGATGACTCTGGATCATCTTCTGATAGCTTCTCTTTCCGGGTCCATCTGAACCCCAGTGGCCGCAGTCCACAGGTCCAGCCCGGTGCCGTGGTTCTGGAGGAGATCTTCCTGATCTCCATCAGACGGCGAGACTCAAACCCACCAGAACTTGTAAGCTTGGACCTGCTCCTGGAAGCACTGCAGGGCTCCACGACCATCATCTCCAAAAATTACCTCAACACGGTTGACCAGGACAGCACACCGGATGAGGTCCGATTTACCATCTCCAAGAGTCCAGCTAATGGATATGTCATCTACACCGATTCCGGAGACCGGATTATCCAATTCAGCCAGGAAGACATCAACACTGGGCGGGTTGCTTTTGTTAGTGATGGAAGTCTGTCCGATGGTTTCATGGAATTTACAGTGTCTGATGGGAAACACCAAACAGACCCATGCACACTGCATATTGGAATCCTGGCCAAGTCTCTGATACTGAATAAAGCTCCAGAGATTCATATAAGGCAGGGAGATGACGAGACTCTAATCACAGAGGACATGCTGAGCACCTCCACTGGGGGTCCGGTCGAGGAGGATGTACTCTATAAGATCACCAATGTCCCGAAATACGCAGCCGTAATGGTGGACAGACAGCCCACATCGGCTTTCACGCAGAAGCAGATCAAACAGGGAAGAGTGAGTGTCCGTTTCGTTAAGTCCACATCACCGAGAGATAGCGTTGCCTTTGTGGCCCGAAGCAGGGCGGCAAATGTGTCCTCTGTCCTCAACATTACCGTGAAACCACTGGCGAAGGTGGCCCAGAACCCCCTGCTCCCCAGAGGTGCTACTGTACTCGTAGACAGAAAGTTGTTGGACGCTACACCTCTAGCCAACAAGACCAGAACATCTCCAACTTTCAGCATGATCCAACAACCTCAAGGAGCTCGGTTCATCAAGAGGGGTGGGCTAGATGATGGCCAGCCAGTGAGTTCCTTCACCCAACAAGACCTGGATGAAGGTCGGGTAGCTCTGGTGATCTTAAACACAACTGGGGCTCAAAACACTGGAAGTCAAAGTCAAGATGAAGCACACTTCCTCCTAAAAGCACACGGCGTTCCTCCTGCAGAGTGCGTCTTGCCCTTCCATGTGGTCCCCTACGACCCTTCCAAAGTTTATGGTGCTACAATGCTCAAAGTGCCACCGGTGTCCACTTCTGATAAGAGTGATCCAGGTCAACCAGAGCCCAGGTGGAGAGATGGTAACGTGGCTTCTGGCAGCACTACAGCGACTCCTGTGGTATCTAGACGAAATACACTGTGGGCTATACTTATTCCCATCCTCGTCATCCTCCTACTCATGCTCCTGGCTGCACTGCTGGCCTACTACTTGGTCCGACGCAACAAAACCGGAAAGCACAACGTCCAAACAGTGGCGGCAAAGCCGAAGAATGGAGAAGTCAGTCAGGAGACTTTCAGGAAAACCGATCCTGCAAACAACATCCCCATGTCAAACATGGACTCCAAAGGGGCAGATCCTGAATTAATACAGCACTGTCGGACAACAAACCCAGCACTGAAAAAGAACCAGTACTGGGTTTGAGATGGGGAGGCGACCGGACAATTGTGTTTTCAATGCCTTGAATCATTCCAGTCAGTGTTATACAGTTTTCTTGCCATTATTGATGCTTTTAAAGTCCAGCACATATCTGAGTTTAGGGTTTCTTAGAAGGCACAGCAAAATCTGTGTGCGTGCTGATGTTCTAATAGTCACATGGTCATTTCTCAAATGAGGCTGAATTAACCAACTTTTAAGGTACTTTTGGACAAGAACATAATATGTTATGTTTGAACAATCCTTTGTATGTATGTTTAGGCAGTAAATGGTTTAAGATCTTATTTTTCAGTGTTATTTACGTTTAAGTTTTGTGTTTTGTTGCTTTTAAACACAGATCAATATATGTGCCTTTTTCCAAGCAGCCTGTTTTCTTCGGTGACACATTGTGTGATTTAAAATTGCGCTGACGATTTGGCACCTTTGTGATCACTTGTTTAAAAGAATATTCTGAGTTCAGTACAAGTTAAGCTCTGTCAACAGCATCTGTTATATGATGTTGATTACCTGAGAAAATAACAAAATGGCATGCACTTACAGTGGAAGTCTATTGAGCAAGTCATTGTGCCTTTAAAATACACACAGAAGTATAGCCACAATACTTCAACTTTCTAAGTTACCATGAGACTACTGTCTTTAAATGGTTTACTAACCTTGTCTGTGAAAAGTTATCCAACTTTCAACCAGTTATGGCCATGTAAAGCCAGTAAACTCCACTCAGAGGAATTATGCCGGTATCCATCCACCTAGAAAATTAGTACCACTGCAAAAGGCATTATTTAGACCAGTTTTTCTGAAACCTATTCCTGGAGGTACACAAACAGTACATGTTTTTTATGTCTTGGATCTATTTCAGGTTGTTGAGTTTCTACTATCAATATCATGAGTTGATCATGAATTAATCAGGTTTGTTTGAGTAGGAAGAGTTTGAAAATGTGGTTGGGAAACATCGATTCAGACAACATTACAGCTCAAATAACATACTGTAACACAGTTCGTAGTTCGGGAAGAAGGAGGCGGGAACCGGCAAACATTTAAACACTTTAATAAAATAAACCAACACAAAATGAAAGTAAAGCGGCAGCCCCTCGCGGACGACTGCCGCACACAAAACACAAAATAAAATCCAAGCCTGGTCCTCTCTCGTCTTTCACTGTCTGACGAAAGACTTAAATAAAATACTTTTTTCAATAAAAGCACCTCCTTTTATCTTTCCGGAGCTCCTCCATGGGACTCGAGACCGGTG